TATAGGGGTGTGGCACCATGGCTCGCAGGGCCCAGGAAGTATTGGCACGTCATTGGGGGCCTTGACCTGCACAGGCAGCACTCCATTCCGCTTGGGCACAACCTGCACCTCCACACCACCATTCGTGTGCGCGAGGGAAACGATTGGCCGATAGTGTAGAGCCGCTCGAGGCACCCAGGGCAGTGGGTTACCAGCACTACCCGCTGGGGATGGCCACCAAAGAGCAAGACAACTGATGGAAAACACCCATTTCTTGCTACGCTGGCTGCGAGGCCATTTTCGCTCTGAGCCGCGCCACCACGGTGATTGCTATAGCAATCGACAATAGCTTCTTGGCATTAGCAGCTGATAGATTCGTAGACTTTGTTTGTGTTAAACACTAGATTTCAATGAGCTTATCATAGACACTGCTTGCTCGGGCAAAGTGGCAAGCTGGCGGCCACCTCATTGCCTTGTTTTGTGAAAACGAATGATGATAGGGGTGATTGCTGTAGCATAAATTCATGCTGATGGTATAAATTTGTTACTTCTACAAATATCTAAGGGGGCCAAATAGTGTCAAATGGCATCGCAACGATGCCGTTTTCTACTGGTAGATGTTGACGTCCCCACGGCACCCACGCCCACACGACGGGTGCGCACGGATAGTGGAATGAATGCGAGACGGCTGACCCGACGTGGACAGATTGGACATGAGGAAGATGTCACACGGGACGGCCAGTCCGGTGTTGGCGAAGGGATGGAGGAAAATCTTCCCGGAGAGCAACCCTCTCTTGGGAGGAACTGGTGTAATTCTCAGCATTTCACACTTCTTTTTGTAATGTGACATATGCTCATATGCTGTGTACCGTATGATGATATGATGCGACATTATGTACGAATGTGTGGATAGACGGGACATTATGTGCAAACGTGAATGTGTGGGTAGAGTGAACAGAATCACTACAAATCCGTGGATGACCTGACGCGAGATTGTAATATTGCTTTGCCCGCTGTGCACGGCTTCACAATACTTAAGTAGTATACTGGTATAAAGTATTGAGAATTACACCACCTGTTCCTTGCTTGCACCATTTATTTCTTGAAAGGATCTGAAAGTGGGTGTGAAGAGAGGATGACTTCTAGCCGGTGAATGGCTGGGTATGGCGATGCCGCCGCGATACATCTTTGATTAGGCATCGTTGCGGCTTGGACGCACTGAGGGCAGTGGTCCTGGTGGCCGCCATTGGTGCACCGAAGAGAAAACGACTAGAGGTGATGCCGCAGGCCTGCTTGGCCCGGAGTTTATGGGCGGCTATTGGGGATGCGCTGACGCGCACTGCGCCATCTGGGACTCGACGTAAACCGCGTCATTGACGGGGATCTGGAAATGGATGAGAGGCTGCGCCAACGAGCCATGTTTCTGTGGGAATCGTTAGATTTGATTCAACCGATTCTAATCATTTCCATCAATTTGATGGAAATATCCAAAATGGCGAGCGTGACTCTTATAGTAGTGAGCATATAAGCCAAGATGGTTGGCGTTTGTGGAGTATGGATTGATTGGCATCGGTTCAACGCCCTCTTGCGCATTCTGGCCAACATGGTGGGATTCAGCGGCATTCTGTCGCCAGTTTTTCAGTCTTCGTGACTAGATTTATTAATAAGAATGGGGTCAGAAAAAGGAAAACGATGGGTTTGGAAGGCTGCAAAATCTCAGACATAAAAAAGCGCGATCGCTGTCTTTTTGTTGGGAGATTGGAACGGAAAGGGTGCCCTTGAGATGCACCTGCTTTGGCGCAGCCAACGGGTCGAATTTCATGAGCGGACTGAATTTCTCTACGAATTTCTGTTCCACATGCCATACATCCCACATATTGCCACGTGTCTAATTACATAGTCATGGTAATCCAGATTTTTATCCAGTCTGGTGACTGTGACACTTCAGCATGCGAAATCCCAATCAATCTCTAGCAATGAGATTTAATTGATCCACTCAGTGAAGCAGTGTTCATGATGAAGCTGCGCGGAGTGCTTGGTACAGTTACCAGAACTTTATCGCTCACTCAGTCCTCTAATCGAGCTCAGTCTCAAGGCGATGGGCGGGTGGGAACAAAGCAAGGCTGTGAGAAGTCTTTGGGCACGCCTTGGGGAGGGAGCCTGATATTCGATAGAGAGATCACCACCAAGGGCTGCTGCTGGCTAGGTGGAGGTTACGCCAAGAGGCATGGTGATATGACAGGAGGGGACTCCAGATTCCGCCCCGCCTAGAACAAATGTCCTGACTGTGCCGCATTCGGCCAGACGGGGCACAACAAGCAGTGAATATCTGTGGCCATCGCTTTGGCCGCATGTCAAGAGCCACACCCAAAGATGAGGTGAGACAGCAGAACCAAGGGTAATACCATCGATCTTCACCAAGTTTGTGGCAGTGCAACAAGGTGCTCACTATCTGGGCCAGAAATTTCTGATAGTTCAGGGATTGTCTCGCCATGCCAAAAAGAATGCCACAACTCTGCGATCTTTCGGTCAAGAGCCACCCCAATGACCAAACAAGGCAATAGAGCCAAGTTCCTTATGTTGCAATCATCGATCCACACCATGATTTGGCGGCACAACCAGGTGCTCATCTGTGGGTCGGCAATCAACAAATGGCTGAGGTCAAGTCAAGATTGTATCAAAATACACTGACACCATAAGCGAGAGATGCCTGAGGGTGGGAAAGACTCTGCGCGAGGTTTGGAAGGAAAATGTGCTCATCCTTGTGCATTAGTGGAACGATCACCAGAATTGCAAGAGGGTGTCCCTGCCTGAGCACACTCGGATTTCTGTGTGGGCAGCATGACAAATCTCTCAAGGTGGCGTCTATGAGCAAATTTGAGCACATACATAGAGGCAGTGCCAGTGACAGCCAGATGAGTTGTGCGGCATTAGAATGTTCTACCATTCAGGTTGGCGGAGATTCACTACGTGCCAGGGACATGATCTACTTGGGAGCATGCCATTCGCGATCCGCATAAATACTTTTGAGCACACGGAAATACCTCGGCAGATCTAAAGACACCTTTGAACATTCTGGAAAGTATGGGTCCTGGACATGTCTGCATGCTGCTGCACGGAAGGGCATGGAATCCTGGAAATAAAAATGACAAAGAACCAATGCAAAACCTTTTTGTTTGCTCTCCATCACGATGGTGTCAAGCATTGAACTGAAGCCACCGCCTTGGCCCTTTCATTCACGCTTAGCCAGAGGGCTGCCCATCTTAGGGAAAGGGCCGAACTGCATTCTCGTTGCAAGGCCCAGCTGCCATAACGGCTTGCACACTCATTGCGGCGAAAACACAAGACACACGTTAATGGGGTGCAGTATTTCATTATGTTCAAGGGCTCCAGATGATAAGCAGCCATCACTTTTCTCCAATACGCATGCCTTGGAAGCATGCACCAGGGTTGAGCGGGTGCTTTCTTTCCAATATTGGAAATATGAAATAAAATAAATGAATTTGCCACTAACGTGGGCTTCCCAGCGAGGATCCCAGGCCGCATCATCATTCTTCACAAGTTCGAATCTTTTGGGAACAGAGGAAAAAAATAATCAGGTAATTGTCAACCAACCTCTGACACCTAAGCAATCAGGTCTGGGTGGACAGCACTGGTTCAATTCGGGCGCCAGAGTTAAGTGGAGAGTCAGTGCAAGAACAGCTGGAGATCAGCGAGCAAGGGGCAGTGACATCACCCATTCCAGCATTGATAAGTACTGCCCTTTGCAACACAGCAAGAACAGCAAGTTCTTCACTGCCTGTGCGCTCTGCCTGGTACCCTTTCCCGGTGGTTTGGGTGCTTTTGCAAGCCCTTGAGCAGCAAACTGTGGGGACCCCAATTGTCGTTATCCACGCAACCCGGCCAAAAGCAACGACAGCGGCAATGCCCACATGCCATTGCGGCCAGTCCGAACGACTGATCCGAACGTTCAGAGAGCGGAGGCGACGTCGGAAGCCAGAGCGGGGACGCGGGGCAGCTCGCTGTGGAGGGCAAGGTGTCCCGGGCGGCGCGGGTGGCTGGGGTTGGGAAGGGTCATGGAGATGCACGCTGGAGGACGAATAGCTACCAATTGCATGTGCACAGGTACATTACAAGACTACGTCAGCGCTTCAATGCGAAATTTTTTATGCATACAGGTTGCCAAAGGGGTAGTTGGTTGGGTAAGTGGGTATGTGGGTGTGTGTGGGTGTGTGGGGGGTTGGGCACATCCCCACTGGGTTTGATGCTCTTCGCGCCCCTTTATTACTGCTGCCTCCATGTCCTGTTCTGTTCTTCTTCTCCGCTGCACGAACTTCTGACCGCGTTGGTCACCATTCCTGGCGGCACTGCTGCAGAGACGCACGCTGGCGATGACATTAACTTCGCGCCCTGCCCGCCGAACGGGCCTGATTTGCATTCAATGCCCGCACACGGGCGCATCGTGCCGTGAGCCCCCAGGCCAAGAATCGCATTCCCAAGTCGGTCAGTCCCGGCCTATGCTCGCAGGCGCGACTTCCTCCCTCATTCCCGCTGCCGGTGCGCAACGCAACGCCCACAACGCCCTTTATTGTTTGGGGCCCCACATCGGCTCCTGGTGGAAAAGAATCCCATTGTGCTTTACTATATGCGGGGGAACTCCTTGCTTAAATCAGCATGTAGTACTTTGGTCCAAAGTATTCCAGGAGTTCCAGGAATTCAAAGAGAGAAAAAAGAAAGGGCGGAAGCCGCAAGCCAGTTTTGACCAGTGTGTGCTGTGCCCCGCCACTTTGCGCTTGAGACATAGGGCCCATCAGTCATCAGGAATTCGGTTGCTCAGTTTTTTCCTCTCTTGGGGCTGTTTCTGTGCTTTCTTTGGCATAATTTTTGCGTTTTTTCACGGGAATGCGTACCCCATGGGCGGGGATCTGAAAAAAACGGGATGGTCAATCTCGAAAACCAGGATGGCCCCACAAGTCCCGCTCATTGGGTGGCGCGCGCCAGAGCACATCTCGCGCGTCGCCATGGGCGCGCTCCGGCCGCGCAGCCTCCGACTGGGGGGCCCAGTGCCGCAGCGCCTCGCGCCTACGGTCCACGCTCGGTCAGCGCTACTCGCCCGAAGTCAACTCCGCCCCGCCGCCAGAGGTGCGCCTCCCGATCGCCAGATCCATCCCATTTCCATTAGTCCTCCAGCCGTGATCCGGTGCCAGTGGACTCTTTTCCCGGCCCCCTCGGTGCTCCGCCACGGGTGGATGAATTCATGTGGTCGACAAAACGTCAATGCCGGTCAACAAAAGGTCAACGCAGCTCCAGCCTCCGGGACGCCGGTGCTGGCGGTGAGCGTGCCGTTTTCCCCTCCCGGCGTGCGCCGTCGAGTTTGGACTCCCCAGCATTGGCTTTGCGTTGATGTTGCGCTGACCTAACGCTGACTTAACGTTACTTTTCCACCGCTTTTTTGACGAATTATTGGGTTAATGGCTTGGGCAGGAAGGCCGGTCGGCGCCTTGACAGTTTCTGGGGACGCCAGCGTCGGCGGCAAGTATGACTACATCGTGGTGGGGGGCGGCACGGCAGGATGCATCCTGGCGAACCGGCTGACGGCGGCCGGTGACAAGCGGGTGCTCGTCCTGGAGGTGAGCATGCGGTCAACGTGAGTAAACAGATGACTAATCTCATCCAGGGCACATGTTTGAAGTAAATCTTCTGACTAATGAGAACACTTATCGAACTATCACCTGGTTAGCCACACAAATGCTTGATTGCTCACACCCAAACAGCAAAATGCAGCATGGGCCACAGTGCACTGCCGTTTGTCCTCTTGATATGCTGTTGCCTTTCCTTTTTCTTGCAGAAAAGGGAAAGAAGAGCATTCCCCTTTCTCGCAAAACAGGAAAAGGGAATTCTCTCAAACAAGCGTTTCTTTAGTGAGTAAACAGCGACTCAGCACTAACTGCTTGGTCCACAGGCTGGGCCGATCGACACCAGTTTCAATGTGACAACACCTGCAGGCATCGCACGCCTGTTCATGAGCGACCTTGATTGGAATCTCTTCTCGAACAAACAGGAAAAGGCGGGTCAGAGGGAGGTGGGTTTCAAAGCCTTAGGGCGCTGCTGCCCTTGTGTCCTGACCTAACCTAACCATATGTGAGCTGCCATAAATCAACCATTTGTGTGCTGACCTAATTCCTGCTCAGTGGCCTGGCATTCGGGTGCCCAAACTAGTTACCAGCAAGCGGCTGAACCAGCAGGCACCCAACCAGTGCTGCCATCTTCTTGCTGAAATTTCTTGAGGAGTTTGGTGGTTACTGTGCCTTCAGACCCACAACCCAAAATACTGAGTTGATTGGCAGTTTAAATGTTAATGTACCATGAACCATGTGTCTGTGGTGTTGTTTTGTGGGCAGTCAGCTTGCTGACATGCTAACAAGAAAACAATTAGCCCAGTGTGGGGGCTCTGGTGCTAGCAGTAGTGCTGCAGGCAGTTGATCACCATTTAATCAGGCAGCATCGGTCATTCTTTGCGACAAACTGTCGTCTTCACCAGAACCTTTGATTGTGTGTCACATATGCTGACAGTCGAATCTGTTGCACATTCAGTCTTCACCAAAACCTTTGATTTTGCGTCAACTCCTCTGACAATCGAATCTGTCACACATTCAGTCCTCACCAAGACCTTTGATCTTGCATCAACTCTGCTGACAATCGAATCTGACGCACATTCAGTCAGTCACCCCCACCCTGCACTTGATTTATCTCTGGATCTTTGCTTTTGCGACTGTTATTTGGCAAGCCATTTCCTTCCACACTCCCTCCATCTTTTCTTTGACCACGCTGCCAATCGAACAAACATGCATATATGTGGGTATGTATAAAAATGTGTGTGTGAATATGTGCTGAACTACCTTCCTGCACATTGCGCCTCAGTAGATCTACTTGGCCCGGGGCAAGCTTATGGGAGGGAGCTCATGCACCAATGCAACCCTGTACCTTCGGGGCGACGCAAGCGACTACGATGAATGGGGTGTGGCGGGCTGGGGGGCAAAGGAGGCATTGGAGTGGTTCAAGAAGAGCGAGGACAATGCCAGAGGTGTGAATGAATGGACGCTCATATTCATCATTTACTTCTTGTTGCTCATTTTTTATTGCTTATCCATATTTTTTGTTCATTTCTGTGTGTTGTAGTTCCCATTGTTGTTCCCATTGCACATTCTTCTGGGCACAGGGGGATTAGAGTGTGCAACTGCAACTTGACTTGGAAGGATCCCTGCCTGTCAAGGTGCAGGGACAGGTGGAACAGCATAGTATGTTGACAGCATTACTTTTGATGGATATTATGGAGAAACAGATCTGTATATTGTACAATAGGGAGGTCTGGGGTAGAGAAGTGTGGGATTGCTACGTTGAGGCCCAAGAGGAACGAAAGGCAGTGTGTTGTTATTACTGCTATTGTTGTTATGAGGGCAGAAAAAGTTTAGTAAGGAATCATGTTGTATGTGGTGTTTGATGATGCAATGTAGGTACAGTGCATATGGTGTTGAGTTATGGTGAAATGCACATGGTACATGGTGACGGAAACTGAACATTTTGCTTACAGTGGGGGTGCATTTGAATGGTATGTTCATCCTGTAATTCATATGGTTACGGCCTTGCTTCCCATGCCTGGGAGCAACTGTGTGTGGAAGCTTTGGTTTTCTTCATAGTTTTCATTGTTATGGAGTTGTACAGCACTTCAACATGCCTCCCTGCAGTGCTGCTGAACTGCATCATTGATTGTGCATGTTTTTGGATGCTCGCCAAAGGCAGGTCGGAGCACCATGGTGTGGGCGGCGTGATGAGCGTGGAGGACCCCCGGTACCGCAACGATCTGTATGACAGGTTCTTCGGGGCGGCCCAAGATGTGGGCCTGCCGCGCAACCCAGATTTTAATGACTGGAGATTCGGGCAGGTAAGCCTCAATCCAACCGCAAGCATTTGTTATTTCATCTTGTCACATCTTTGCATTTCCCAAATCATGCAACATGGAAGAGAATGAGGCGTTGACCTGATAACAGCTGTTCTTAAGGGACATATCGGTGTGATTTCCAGATTTTTTGTAGTCTGCATTTTGTAATTCCTCAATATTTCTTATTGTCACGATGATGCCGCTCATTGATGAGTCGTGACTCTTGCCCATGTAGCCAATGACGGCTTTGCACATTGCCTTCTTGCAGTGCTCAGCCCTGCACCTTGACTGTCTTCTGTTGTTTAGCTTTGTGGAGAAGACTGTTTGTGGCTTCACCTGTGTTTGGGCAGTACATGGGCGCTCGAGGGAGCTCAGCTCGCACCCAGCCCCAACCACATAAAAGAAACCACAGCAAAAGAAACACAATAAATGTATAAAACCATAATAAAACCACAATAGTAAGCAATGGCCCAATGCTCGGGGCCGCTGCACCATGTTTCTTTTTTTATGTTTGTGCGCTGGATATGTGGCTGGGCTGCATGCTGATGTTTTTATTTGATGCTTTGACTGCGACTCTGGTGATTCCATGGCGTTTCTGTGTGTACTTTTTTGTAGATGGGCTTTGGTGAGTTCCAGGTGACCCAAAAACGGGGTGTCCGAGCTGACCTGTACTCCAGATGCCTGAAACCAGCGATGAGGAGGAAGAACCTGCAGGTGTTTGTTTTTGCATTGTATTTGTTTTATATATTTGTTTTACATTGTTTTGCATTTTTGTTTTTAGCTCTGATTTGTGTTAGTTGTGTTAATAGAATGTACTGCCAAGCATTCCAATATTCGAGCACTGAGCGAATCTGCCACTCTGTGGATTTCACATTCGAATGCCAACTGTTGGGCACATATTGTGCATAATTCAACACTTGGCATCTTGAGTGGCTTGGGCAGGTGGAACCAAACGCGGTGGTGACTAAGGTCGAGGTCGATAAACAAAACGGCGAGTTGAGGGTGGTGGGCGTCACCTATGCACCCAATGGAAAGGATGGCGCACGAGTCAGCGGTGAGGTCAACAAATGGTCAAATTTGTCAGTCTTGCCATTGGCTTTAGTAACTGCAACGTTGGTAAAATGTGGTGACGGCCTTGGTGGCTGGGACTACTGCATCGCATGGGCTGTGCAGAGAACAGAAATCGAATTGCTTCCTGTTAATCTGTGGGTGCCAACTGTGCTTTGAATGCTCGAAGCGGTGTTTTGGGCTGCTGGGTGCCTGTCTGGCTTTGCTCTTGGCTCTTTGCTCTCCTGTCAATTATGTGGCCTAGGTTCCAGGAAGTCTGGACCCTTCCACTTTCTGCATCAATTAGGCATTGAACGCAACATAACAGTACAACAAAAGATGGCACAGTAAGAGCAAACAACGAAAGACAATGAAAAGGAGAGCAAGAAAGAATAATCCGATCTGCAGTGGTGTCACCCCTTGGGCGAATTTGTCCCCATGGCTCAAGTGCTCCTCTAGAAACTGGATTTCTGCAGTTGGCACAACGTGAAGTGAAAATCCTGACAGGCAATGTTAAAAAATGGACACACTGGTAACGTCATGTGTCTCTGCCAAACTCAGATATTTAAACACCGTCCCTCTGCTGGTGGTTTACAGGGAAAGTCTGGCCTGCACCCTGTTCCCACCCTCGCATCCCTAAAATTGATGCATAACCCATCCACCCACTCCACACACACAACCTTTCCTCATTACAGAGCTGGACAAATTCCTGTGTTCAATTCTTATTTCAAAGGACATTTGTGTAATATTTACTATTTACTGTCCATTGTATATTTTGTCTTATCTACTATTTTATCTATTGTTGTCTATTCGTTATTCATTGTTTGTTGTCTGCTGTTCATTGGTTGTGTCTCTTTTGCTGTCAGTGGAGCTGGCGGCTGGAGGGGAGGTGCTGCTCAGCGCAGGCGCAGTCCACTCACCGCACATCCTCATGCTGAGCGGCATTGGCCCGCGGGCCAGTCTGCAGCAAGCCGGCGTTGACTTGACCATTGACTTGCCAGCCGTGGGTCAGCACCTGCAGGACCACCCGGCGGTGCTGTCAGCGTTCAGGTGAATGCTTCTGGGTGCCATACTAAAGTACTGTGGGACGAAGTTGCGCACTAAAGTACTGTGGGATGAGGCTGTGCGTTAGAGTACTGCAGGGTGAGGTTAGCTCACTGAAATGCTGCAGGACCAGGTTGCGGAAGCCCAGTACAGTACTGCACTTATTGCGATGAAGTGGACTTTTCTGTTGTTGCACAGTAAAGTACCCTTGCACTGTAGAATACAGATGCACTGTAAAGTACCCTTGCACTGTAGAATACAGTTGCACTGTAGAGTACAGTTGCGCTGTAGAGTATAGTTGTGCTGTTGAGTACAGTTGCGTTGTGGAGTGCAGTTGCACTGTAGAGCACAGCTGCACTGTAAAGTATAGTCCTTTGTGAATGTGATGGGCAAAACTGAGGGGGGCTTGATTTGCGCCTATGCATTTGTGGCTGTCGTGTTTTGAGCAATCGGCTCAGGAAGTCATGCCCCAAATGGATCCATATTTTGGCAGCTTCGAACTGTCCAAAGCCATTTCGAAAAATGACCTTGTAGCTGTGTTTTGTGACCCAGCTGTTTTTGGATCCTCTGTGAAACTGAGCCTGAATCCTTGGAGAAGTTGCACTTTATTGTGCTGCAGAGCAGAGTTGCACCAAGGTGCTGCAGTAATGTGCTGCACCAATGTACCCCAATGCACTGCTATCCTCAGTGAACCTGAGATTCTGCGGGTCGCTTCGAGCAGGATGAAGTCCGAGCATGCTGACAAGGCGATGACGACCAAGGTGTACAACAAGAAGGGCAAAGTGCGAAAGCGCACGATTCTGAACTACCTGTTGAGGAGGCGGGGGCCCCTCACAACCACGGGATGTGATCGTGGCGCGTTTGTTGACACGACCGGTGGGTCTGCACATGTTTTTTTTTCCTGTTTTGCTACTTTTATTGTTTCTACTTTTCCATTCTTCATTTCTTTGTATGGAAGACATCGCACCTTAGATTTTCCATTCAGGTGCTGGTGACGTGTGCATGAGCTATTTGGTGATGATATCCCTTCGTGTTTCTGCACTTTTGTAAGTTCTGTGATGGCTGTCACCACAGTTGTTGTCAATGTCACCACCAAGGATGGGAGAATGGGAGGGGAAAATGAGGCATGTGGTGTTTGCAGGGACATCACACCTCAGGATTTTGAAAAATAGCTGCCTTTCAAGCAAAATGGACTAAATGTTGCCAGGTAGTAGCTCTGGCACTGGCATTGCACACGAGGTTGATAGTCGATTGAATTCATTTATTCTTTTCATGTTTGAATAATTAAGATTTTTGGTGACGTTGAGGCTTCTGTTGATTCCTTAATGTTGGCGCAAGCCTGGAGGTAGCTTTAGAGAATCCAAAACATGCGAAATTGATTATCTCTGCAATCAATTGTATTTAAAATTGAACATTCACGCTATTTAACTTCTATGAAATTGAAGTTTCAGAAAGACCCTGTCAGTGCTACTGCTGCCATTGTCCTTACCATGGAATGCAGGCCGTGGACAACTGTGGATCCAGCGGCTGGCTGACTGGCATCAATGCATTCCACATTATATGTAAACAGCAATGGCACTAATTTGACAGGCAAGTGAACAACGCCAGAAGAACAATTGTGAATACCATCTGAGTGCCCACACGCGGTACCACTTTATTTCTTGGAAAATCTATAATACATTACTTCACTAATGGCAGGATTGCGAACCGCTACCTTATTTCTTGTCTCACAGCACACCCTTTCAACACGAGTTTCAGCGATCGGACACGATCACAAGGACATGATAGCTGCCCTCAATGGACCTAAACTTGCCTGCTGAAGCCGACCCTGTGTTCTCCCAAGTGGACCATGACCTTGACCGAGTTGACCTTGTCGTTGACCGATCTGGCCTTGTCGCTGCCTGCAGGCTCTGGCAGGGCGGATCTCCAGATGCGCTTTCCTGCTGGCTACGCACTGGACCCCGATGGCGTGGGGTCTTATGTGAAGTTTGCAGAGCTGACTGAGAAGGGCGAGGCGTGGCCGCCGGGCATCACCTTTCAGGTCATCGCGTGCAGGCCCAAGAGCAGGGGGAGCATAGGTGCGGGATGGCTTTGGAAGCAACTTTGCAGCGGCACTGGTAGCAACAAAAGTGACACTGGCAACAGTGTTGATGGGCACGAGGATCGCAAGAACAATAATAGAAAGACAGCAGATAGTTGTTTTGGGCTTCTGTCAGTGTTGCAGCTGTAGTTGGGGGCTCAGTAGTTATGCAGATAGGTGCTTTGTGCACCCCAGGGCCTGAAACCTTGACCCCAATGTACACCGCCACCCGACGAGTTTGATCGTCTGTCGATTGTTAGGAACTGCTCAATGACAAACTTGCAACTCGTCCATCGTTCATTTCTCTTGACATGACATGGCAAGCACGCAATTATGCCAAGTAGCAGTTGGCTAAAGCTCAGTAACATTTGCTAAGTCAAGATGTCAACGCCCAAACTGGCCCAAGACATCCATCATGCAGGTTGCTCTTTCAATCACCCAGTAATGTGAGCACCTGTTCAACGCCAGTGACATGATCAACGCCGACCACATTCATGCCACTGAATTAACGCCATTACATCAGCTCCAGTCAAGTGATTGCGTGTTGTAACTGCTTTCTGCATTTGCTGCATTTGCTGTCTGCAACGCCAAATTGTTTTGCAGGTCTGAAATCCAAGGACCCCTTTGAAGCGCCCACCTTGGACCCCGGCTTCCTCACCGACGAGGCTGGAGCGGACCGCGCCACACTGCGCGCCGGCCTGCGCCTCAGCCGCAGGATGACAACCTCCCGCCAGCTGGCGCCCCTGCTGTGGTACGAGGGCTACCCGGGGCCCAATGTGACATCGGACGACCAATTGGATGAGTACATCTCCAAGACGCTGCACAGTGCGAACGCCCTGGTCGGGTCGTGCAGGTGCGAAGGCTGGGCAGTTCGGGATGATTCTGTTTGCCTTCTTGGAAATTTCTGGGGAATGTGGTACAGCCAACTGCTATGAACTGCTATGCCTTCCACTGCTAAGAACTGCCATAGTCTGCTGGAGCTTCCACTGCTCTTTTCCCGCAAGGGTGTCAGAAATGGCGGTTCGATCCAACGAAGAAAAAATAGGAAGTTGCGTTCAACTGCATTTTCAATGATCTTGTTGTGCTTTGCTCTATCCTGCATGTTGTTGCATGTTGTTTGGTCGATCGGTTGATCGATGAATGGACGTTGTGTTGCTCAGCTCATGGCGCGGTGCACTCCGCATTCGCATTTTGAGCTTTTCGCAGTTCAGTTGTGTGAAAAACAAGTGTTCCTGACCAAACAGGTGCCAAGGCATTCAACTGCGTGCCACGGAACGCCGTTGGGTGCCAAAAATCTCATGGCCATAGCCAGCTCTTTCAGTGTACCGATTGAGCATTTGACAAAGTTGTTGAATTAATTCTGATGCAAAATTGATCGGCGTTCATATCGAATCTTGGTATGAAAATTCGAGTACCAATCTGTTTGGGACAGGGAGAGCACCTTTGTGCTGCAGACAGTGGCATTTCTGAGCTTATTATTAGGAACAGCTCTTCATGCCGCACTTTGTTTAGAAATAGTCGCATTACTTTATGATCAGATCACTTTGATTATCATCAAATTTCGCTTTGGATTATGAAATTATCATCAAATTACTACAGCTTTTAAACCTATACTTACGAAATTGTACTTAGACTACACTTACGCTATGCTGATTACATTCTGCCTGCTTCGTTCAGAATGGGCTCCCCCGGCAACGGGTCGTCTGTCGTTGGGCCCGACCTGGCCGTGCACGGGGTCAGTGGCCTTCGTGTGGTCGACGCCTCCGTCATGCCGGTCATACCCGGTGGGCAAACCGGCGCCCCGACGGCCATGATCGCCGAGAGGGCGGCGCACATGATTCTAAAGGGGTCATCCGCCTGAGCGCGGGGTCCCAACTTGCAAATTTCAATTTCGCATTTCAGAGTTTGGACAAGGCAGGCGAGGAGCCCGCCTTTCAATTTCAAGACTTGGCGATGTCGATTTGGAGTTTCTCCTTTCAAATTCAAATTTTGAAAAGGCGGTGTCAGTTTGGAATTTTCGGCGGCTTCCGGCGGAGAACCTCCCTTTCGAAATTCGGCAAAGGATTGGCTCGGTGTCGAAGTTTTGGTGGTGGCCAGCGCGGGGCCTCACATTCGAGTTTTGAAAAGACGCCGGTTTTGAACTCTTGGGGCCCGTTTCTGGTTTGGCGCCGCTGTGGTGCCTTAGCGTCTCGCAGTGTTTTGCACGGTGTTCTATCCACCTCGGGATTTCGGGCCCCTGGTCAGGCTGCGCTTGTGGGCGCCACATGATCGCCACATGATGTGGCTGAATGGGCGTGGCAGTGAGCTGGTGCATGTTTGCTCGCGCCCAGGAGTGCGCGCCCGGAAATGCATCAGTTGTTCCCTGCTCAGCCTTGCTCGTATTTTTCATTCAACCGTGGGTGCCGTCCCTGCTCTTGTTCAACCCCCCACCCCACTCACCTTGGATCCAGACTGCCCGCGTTGGGTGGAACAGCGCGTGGTGTATATAATCATGTCACATGTACTTCAACTGCGATACGTGCAAAATCGTACATTCAGACAAGACGACAGTGCGATGCACTTGTCGGTGCGCGAATCCTAAAAAATAGAGAAAAAATAGAGATAAAAGAGCAAATAGAGAGATGGGCATGGGGATAGAGAGGGTGGCTTGCTGTGGCGTATCCGCGGTTTCCCCACGGTCTCACATCTCGGTCTCGGTCCAGGACGTGAAACAGCGGGCACGTTGACTCGGGGACAATCAATGCTCGATGCACGCCACATCGTTGCAAAGTGCTGGGCCACGATGCCGCAGACGTGCAACCCAGAATTTTTTCGTTCGAGCTATGGCGCAATCGGTGCTGCTGTGCGAGCATGTTGGCACCACTTGTGAGGTGCAGAAGGCAAAGCACCGCGGCGGAATTCCTAACAATGCCACGGGACATCTATTTGGGACATGGCAGGTCCTGTTTCGTTGCCTGCTGCTTCTGTTAAATCCATTCTTTGCATTTGTCAAATAAACTTGGCAAACACACAACCTGGCACCTTACAGGCGATGCCGGGCGTAATTCAAAATGCTGGGCGTTATTCTATTTGTGTCTCAATGTTCGTTCACTTCCGCTCAGATTCCCCCCTCTTCCGTTCCCACGAGTTCTCCCTGTGCTCTGGTGCCGTGCACCTCAGGCCGGCGGTGCTGCATGGGCGTCTGAACTCTGGGACGCGTCAGGGCAATCCCGAAATTTGCCCGTTGCTTACAATTACCAAGTCCGAATTGCCAAGTTGACTGACAAGTCATGCCGCCAATCAGAAGAGAGAGTCATTGTCCATGACCCCACTTCCAATGTACAAGCAACAGCTGCCTCCCAACCCATGCAGCACTGCCAAGAAGCCGTGTCCCTCACACCCGTTGAAACTGCTGACTAAAAACCGTGAATGTAAAATGCTCATGTGATCTGCTCTGCCTTCTTCCACACCCTCTGGACATGTCATGAGAAAGAAACCCAATCCCTGAGAGGCTCTCGGCCACCAAAACATAGATAGTCCATTCGAAATCGGCACGCGCCCTGTGCCTAACCGATTCGTGGAAATATAAACGTGCTCTCAAATGACCCTCAGCTGTACTGCGAACGGATCCCTTGGGGAGTCCATTACGCGCGCCCATCGCCCCCGGTGCCTTCCATCCGCGTGTCCTGGTGTCCTGAGCGGCTCTGGTGCCGTGTACCTCGGGCCGGGAGCCTTCATGGGCGCCCGAGCCCTGGGGCCCGTCAGGGCAATCCCAAAAATTTCTGTTGATTCGAATTACCATTGTTGCCAAGGCGAGAGCCTCGCAACTCAGAAGATCGACACATTGCCTTCCCCCTCCAAAGTTGAAGTATAATTTTCATCCAACTGTTGTGCACTAAGCATCAAGCAGGTCAATAAGTTTCCATAGGTGGTGGAGTGTTGCCAGTCGCCAGGAAAGAAGCACAATATTGGCACATTCCTACGGCCACTGCACGCAGCAGAGGCTCCTCTATAGTGCAATACTGGTACAAGCAAGCATTACAATGTGTTCAGCATTCGCCACTCCCGAAACAGGCCTAGAGCATCTCACGCGTGCTCCCCCCTTCAGGTCAGGTCCGTTCCCGCATCCCATGCCTTGTCCCCGGGAGACGCCATAGATCCAATTTGATCGCCCTCTCCATGCATGAAGAGCCAGCGTCCAGCACCTTCTTCGTTCCGGAGACAATCAAATACCCAGCAATGGCCCACGCTTTGGTTGCGAACGTCGAGTTTTCACCAACAGGAATTCCATTCACCTTCAGAAAGGCGTCAGCCCCCTTCACCAGCTCGTTACCCAAACCCGCCACCAGATACCCAAAGACGCCCACCAGGGACGCGATGAAGACGGCCGAGAGGACGGCAGCCCCGGCCGTCGAAGTGTTCGGGTCGTTGAAGACGAGCCCGGCGAAGAACGCCAGCGAGGAACACGCGAGAGAGAGCGCCTCCATGCGGTCCAAGTCCGGGCCGCCCTGGGCGAAAGGGTGCACGGTCAAGTGCGCGCCGAGGGCCGCCACCAGCACCGCGAGCCCCAGGGTGGCCTGGAGGTTGGGCCCCAGGGACCGGCGGAAGACCGCGATGGCCGCCAAGATACCCTTGCGCAGCATGACGGCGAGCTCCCAGTACTGGCACCCTTCGCGATACGATTGGTACAGAAAACCGTACACCGCTCCGAAACGTGGCTGGCTGAGCTTTGCCTTGCGGCAAACGAGCGTGAGCGCAAGCCACAGGGGCATGCCGAAGGTCACAAGCAGCAGCAGAGGAAAGGCAAGGCCCGTCGCCATGGCCAGGTGGCTTCCCACGTAGCACTCAACGTCCGTGTCGTCCACCCAGTACGTGGACAAGGCGATTGCGCGTCCGCCATCTGGAGCGCCCAATCTGTCCGCGTCGGCGCTGATGCACCCCAGGATCTTCAGGGCGTTTCGAGTGAGGTCGGTGTATGAAATGTAGAGCACGGACAGGGCCGAAACGTGCCAGAACAGAAACGCGTCCTTCCACTTTCTCGGCTTCAGCCATCCCGAGACCAACGACAGAATGGCGAAGGCAAGGATGAGGACGAACGGGAAGACGAGCACACTAACAGTGCGCTGCACTGAACGCTGGGTGGTTCTGTTGGGCAGGAATGCGCAGTCAAGGGAAAAGATCCCTTGGCTGCCTGATGACAGGAGATCTGTGCGAAGACAGTCAAGCTACTCAGAGAGGTGATGAATTTTGCCTTCTGCGACGTGCCGGGCAGGTTGTGCGGTAAGAGCGCACGACACGGTATGGACGCATTAGGACGGACTTGCTCAAAAAGTTTCTCCTTCGGCTGGTTTGTAGCTCAAAGCGGGTTTGGGGGATTATGGATGTGCTTGCGGGCAACTTCTTGAGACTCACACCACTGTACTGCACTGCGCTGCGCTGGGCTGCCTAAAGCAGTTCCCTTGGCCTTACGGTTATTTTGAAAAAAAATGTTCCGTCCCAATAGCCTTCAGAGCAATCTAGAGCTTTGAGCGGTTCCAACATCATGAAAATATAGCATAGGTTCACGTTCGGAAAGTCAAAGCACCCAATACTTACATGATTAAACAAAACGCAACAAACATCAAATTCCAGGGGATTATTACACTGCTGAAAGCAGGTCAGATGACACAGTCATGATACGGTTTGATCAGAATCTTACTATGCCGTTTCGGCAAATGCGGTGTCCCGAAATTGCACGTTTAATACACACACTTCCGTGTATGGGACACAGTTTCAACCGCGCACCATCGGGAACCGTGTAGTACACGGTTGGTACATAGTAATGTGTGTAGTACCCGTGTAATCTTGGGACCACGTTTGCCTAAACGGCATAACTGGAACTTGAGCAGACTGTGTCGTGGCAGTGTCATCTGGCCTGTTTCTTACTAGTGCTATGGTATGCAAGTCGTGAGTAATATGCGCTCGATGCACTTGATTTCCAAGGAAATGCAGGGCCCCAATTTCCCTGGGTCGTGCTGACAGCGTTCTGGACTACGACTACTTTCAGTTCAACTGCAGATCTGGTTTTCGCACTTGCCGGAAAGCACAACAGCGTTTCCGAAAATGGGATAACAAAGGTCGAAAAATGTAAACACATACTGGCATTGTTTTGTTGCTATCCTGGAATGTCATTCACATAGCGCATTCCTGGGTGAGATCACGCCACGCATCCAGCTACATTTCTCATTGCAAGAACCGCAAAATTCGCAGACGTTCTCTCAACAAGAGGCAAATTGCTCCGCTAGCGCTTTTCAATCACACCTGCAATTCCTAGCGACTTCAGCACAGAGCTGCTCCAGTTTGCGTTGATGAAGACAGCAATGCCCGTGACCTGCAGAAAGTTGATGAGGATCTGCCCGAAGCAGCTCTCCATTAGCAGAAGTATGGAAGGGCGGCAGAGAATATGGCAACAAACTCCGCTCAAGTGCGTCGAAGCCCAGGAAAATATTTGCTGGCGATGCGCGAATGGAATCAAACATCAATGAGCAGCTCGCAGTTCCATGCAAATGCAGTCGAGATAAAGCTCGCACCCTCGCAAGTGCTGAGCAGAGAGAAGGGCAGGGTGCGTCGGGGAACAAAGAATCCCTGTTTCGGGGGAATAGTGGGAAAGGCAGAACATTTGCAGTGCTTTCATCTGCCATTATTTTATGAGAGGGTGCTTAGAGAATCTAGGCTTTTTGATTTCGCCGCATTCAGCGGTCCCCGCCGCACTCACGTGGAATGAGAAGAAACCAAAACATAGATTCACTCAAACATCGATTCCACTCATCTGATTCTCGCTTCATTCTCTCCATTCAATATGCACTGGAAGGAGAAGGCGGCTTCGGCACTAAGGGCAAAATA